TCCAAGGTTTCTATTACAAATTTCTGAATAGTTTCCTCTCTCTTTAGGCTACTCTATTTATACTACTTGAGATACAAGGAATTGGCCTAGTGCCTTGATTGTTAACAACTACTACAATTTGTCTTATAGCTAATAATTAATAAAGGTAATCTGCCAAAATCCTTCAAGCCGTTACTGCTGTTGTAGTGGGTGTGCTCCTTGCATTGTGTCCTGCTGCTGCTGATTTTGTCCTTTCTGTCCTTTTCTCCTGCTGTAAGTTAGGATGCGTGGTGGTGGAGATGAGTGTATTGCAATACTCCCCCCCAAAAGCGCCACCTTGTCCTCAAGGTGGAAAGCAGGGAACTGAGCATTCATGGCCTCGGCATCCTCCCATGTGGCCTCAAAGTCAGGCAAACCTTGCCACTTAATCAACACATCCAAACCATCCCTTCTCCCTAGCTTGGGTCTGCTGTCCAACACAGCTTCAGGTTCCACAATTAACTCCAATTCCGGAGTGATTTGCTCTGGAATTGTTGGCGAACACGGGGTGTGATTTGCTCTGGAATTGTTGGCGAACTCACAGCATTTCCCAAAGCTTGCTTCAATTGTGACACATGAAACACGGGGTGTAATTTACATGTCTCAGGCAAAAGTAGTTTGTAGGCTACCTTCCCGACTCTTTGCGTGACCTCAAAGGGGCCATAAAAACGTGCTGCCAACTTCTCGAAAGGTCTCCAGGCTAATGAGCGTTGTCGATATGGCTGGAGTTTAAGGAACACCATATCCCCCACCTTGAATTCCACATCCCTCCAACGAACATCGGCATTTTCCTTCATAATTTGCTGGGCACGCGTCAAATGCAATTTCAATTCATCCAACATCACATCCCTTTCTTGAAGAACTTCCTCAACCGAGTGCACCGCCGTTTGCCCCATTCCCACACGAATTAATTTAGGAGGATCCCTCCCGTAAACAGCCTTGAATGGAGTCATGTGGGTTGATGAGTGAGGGGATGTATTGTATGAGAACTCGGCCCAACCCAACCACTTGGCCCACGCTCTTGGTTGATCACCTACGAAACAGCGGAGATAGGTCTCAAGCCGATTGTTCACCACCTCGGACTGACCATCCGTTTGCGAGGTGCTCCGCTTTAGCCCTGTTCTTTGAAGCCGAAAGAGCTCCCTCCAAAACATGCTGACAAAGATCCTATCTCGGTCAGTCACAATACTCTCCGGCATTCCGTGCAATCGAACAATCTCCCTCATAAAAACCTCCGCTAATCCAACCGCCGTGAAAGGATGTTTCAACCTCAAAAAGTGAGCATACTTCGATAGGCGGTCAACTACCACCAAAACCGTGTCAATTCCCTTGGATTTTGGAAGACCCTCAATGAAATCCATGGTTATATCACTCCACACCTTTTCCGGTATAGGCAAGGGTTGCAGCAGCCCCGCCGGAGACCGTTGTGAGAGTTTGTTTCTTTGACAAATCATACACTACTGCACATACTCATCTACCTCCTTCCGCATTCCGGCCCAGCACCAATCGGCCGCTATTCGTATATAGGTCTTCGTCTCACCCTCGTGTCCTCCCTCCGGTGAGTCGTGGTATGCTCTCAACAAAACCGCCTTTAGGCTCGAGTGAGTTAGAAGTACTACTCGACCCTTATACAAGAGGTGGTTGTCTTCCACGGAGTACCCCTTGACCTGTTCCCCCGCCGCAATCTACCCCTTCAATTTCTGTATAAACCCATCTCGCGCACACTCCTCCTTCAAAATTGACCAGTCGACTCCCTGTGTGGCCACCAAGGCCCCTAAATCCGCCGCGCCTTCCTCCTCGCCCCTCCGCGAAAGGGCATCAGCCACGCGATTTGCGATCCTGGGCTTGTATTGGAGTTCGAAATCGAACCCAATTAATTTTGTAACCCATTTCTGATACTTTGATCCCACTTCCCGTTGTTGCATTATGAATCTGAGACTCTGTTGATCGCTTCGCACGATAAACCTCCGACCAAGAAAATAGTGTCGCCATTTTTGCACAGCCAAGCAAACAGCCATTAACTCTTTCTCATACACAGACTTGCTTCTCCCTATTGGGCCTAATACCTTGCTGAAAAAGGCTACGAGCCTCATATTTTGCATTAAAACCGCACCAAGGCCGAAACCCGATGCGTCGGACTCCACCACGAACACCTTGTGGAAGTCCGGCATCACCAACACCAGCGCCGTGGTCATTGCTGACTTGAGCTGAGTGAAAGCTTGGTCAGCCTTTGTGGACCATCCAAAGTTATCCTTCCTCAATTGATCCGTTAAAGGATGGGCTATATGTGCATAGTGTCTTATGAATTTTCTGTAGTAGCCCGTTAGGCCCAAAAAACCCCTTAACTCCCTTAAGCATTTTGGGGTGGGCCAATTCACCATAGCCCGTATCTTCTCTTGATCCACAGCAACCCCATCTCTAGATATCATATGGCCCAAATAAGCTACTTCACCCTTCCCAAACTCACACTTCTTAAAATTTGCAAACAACACATGGGCCTTGAGTGTAGCTAAGACCACCCGTAAATGCTCAACATGCTCTTCTTTACTTGCACTATAGATGAGAATGTCATCAAAAAAGACTAAGCTAGGACGAATTTCCTTAGGAAAGGCCGGAAAATGTCATTCATCAACGCTTGAAAAGTCGCCGGAGTGTTGGTTAAGCCGAAAGGCATAACCAAAAACTCGTAGTGTCCCTCATGGGTACGAAAAACCGTTTTATGGGTGTCCTCCGACCTCACCAAAATTTGGTGGTATCCGGCTTTCAAGTCGAGCTTACTAAAAATTTGAGCACCATGTAGCTCGTCTAGTAGCTCATCAATCACGGGAATGGGGTATTTATCGGGCACTGTTTCTTTGTTTAGGGCCCGATAGTCAACGCAAAATCGCCACGATCCATCCTTCTTTTTCACTAGAAGAACGGGACTAGAAAATGGACTTGAGGATGGTCGGATAATCCCGGCTTCTAACATCTCCTTAATGAGCCTCTCTATTTCATATTTTTGGAATTGCGGATACCCGTAAGGGCGCACACTCACCGGGTTACTCCCATCTTTGAGTAAGATGGAGTGTTCGTGCCCCCTAACGGGCGGCAACCCTTGGGGTTCCTCAAAGACCCCACTAAATTCACTTAACACCCCTTGGACAAAATCAGGAATGTCACTGCTCCCATTTTTCACACTTCCCTCAACTTGATTTAACTCCACCAATAAGCCTCCTCCATGCTTACGAATGGTTCTCATCATGGACTTGAGAGTCACTCCCGTGCGAGCTAAGGATGGATCTCCTCTAATTGTCACCGCTTTACCCCCCTTCTTGAACTTCATCACTTGTAATTTCCAATTAGTGACTACCTCCCCCAACTTTTCTAGCCATTGCACACCTAAAATGACATCGGTGTTACCCAAGTGAAGGGGTAAAAACTCCTCCTCTATCTCCAACTCTTCATTGACCCTCAATCTCACCCCTTTGCATTGCCCTCGACCCTTCACCGCTTCTCCGTTTCCCAAGGTGACACCAAACGAGTGATCGCCCTCAATCGGTAAAGCCAACTCCTCTACTAAGGTGGTTGAGATAAAATTGTGCGTGGCACCCGGATCAATCATCACCACCACCCCTTTTCCGCGGATTTTTCCGATGAGTTTCATGGTCCTCGGGTTAGTCAACCCAACAATGGAGCACATAGATACATTTACGGGTACCACCTCCTCTTCCTCCACCGGAGCTTCCAACGCTTGGAACTCCCCTTCCTCGTCACACTCATCCTCTTCTTCCACCAATAAAACACTTAGCCCCTTGGCGGAGCAAACATGTGTGGGTCCCGTCCACCTTCCGTCACACCTAAAACAGAGTCCCTTTTCTTTCTTTTCTTGGATTTCTTTCTCGGTTAATCTTCTCACCATGCCACTGAACCTTGATGTGCTCGGATTGCTTCGTGATGGGTATGTTTGTGAAGGATTATTAACTGAGGCAGAAGATGCTTGGGGTGTTTGGGTTTGTGTTTGGTGGATGTTTGGGTTCGTGTTTGGGCTGATTGGTGGGATACTTCGAACTGGGCCGGGGTTAAAGGGTCTGGGGTATGTGTTTTGGGCTGATCCGTTACCCAATAGCGTCGAGGCGGGGCTCCGGTTAAAATACGAGTAGGGTCCGGGTTTAGAGAACGCTCCACCCGTTTTCTTTAGGCTATTGATCCGATTTCTTTCTTCGACCCGGATCGCGAGATCCATGACATCTTCTAGGGTGAGCGGGTTAAGCATTCGGATCTCCGCCTTAATCTCCTCCCATAATCCGTTAATAAATTGTCCTTTCATTATGCTTTCTGGAACATCGATCAATGGCGAGGCTTTTTCGATGAACACTTGGTGGTACTCCACCACCGTGGTGGTTTGCTCCACGGCGAGCCATTGTTCGTGCAAGCTTCCCGAGTTAACGGGTCGAAATTGATTCAAGATCCTAGTTTTCAGATCCTCCCAGCCCACCATCGGTCGACGGCGGCTTTCCCATTGATACCACCTCAAGGCGTCACCCTCCATGGCTACAACGGCGGCCTGCAACTTCTCCGTCTCCGAAAGCTTGTAAAACTGGAAGTATTGTTCGCTCCTTAAAATCCACCCATCTGGGTCGGACCCCTCGAATATCGGCATATCCAACTTCCTATACCTCCAGATGCCGTTCCCTCCTTGCTACTCGTTGTTGAAGTGACGGTATCCACCCCTGGACCCTGGGTCCCAGTTGCCGATTCCGCCCTGACCCAATGGCTGGTTCACTTCTCCTTCAACGTTTGTTTGGTTCTGTAAGCCCAACATCATCGTCCTCATTTCTTCGAAGAACTTATCTTGGTCCTGCTTCAACGTTTTCTGTATGGAGTTCTCTCCATCACCGATCTTCTCGAGAATCTCCTCTACTCGTTCATCCAGCGCGGCGACCCTCTCCGGAGTCACTGAGAGCGGCGTCGGAGGCATGTGCTCTGATACCAATTGCAACGGTAAGCGTAATTAAACAGAGATTAGGGGAAGGTTTGGCGTTGTATTAAAGCTAATAGCTTGTAAAAGATAACATGGCTTTAGGCCATTACTCTCCAAGGTTTCTATTACAAATTTCTGAATAGTTTCCTCTCTCTTTAGGCTACTCTATTTATACTACTTGAGATACAAGGAATTGGCCTAGTGCCTTGATTGTTAACAACTACTACAATTTGTCTTATAGCTAATAATTAATAAAGGTAATCTGTCAAAATCCTTCAAGCCGTTACTGCTGTTGTAGTGGGTGTGCTCCTTGCATAGTTGCATTGTGTCCTGCTGCTGCTGATTCTGTCCTTTCTGTCCTTTTCTCCTGCTGTAAGTTAGGATGCGTGGTGGTGGAGGTGAGTGTATTGCAGGATCCTAGATGTAAAAGAAAAAAAATCACCTACACAAGCTTAAAATCTCCAAGTTATTCAGTTACCACTACAGTACGTATTCAGGTTTAATGTTGAAATAGTGGAAAAGAAAACTCCAATCAGAAATACAAGAATCATGGCGTGGGTTCTGCACTCTCTCAGGAACATTATTTTCGGTAGACTATCTTAGAAGAGAGTAAATGAAAGATGAAATATCAAACTAACACATTGAACTCCCATGATGCCATCAAAATATCACATGTTTCAGGCTTTCAGCATCTAATACAAGAGAAGTGTTACAGGTTCAATATCGGTAGCACACATATAAATGTAAATTTTTCAGAATTTCTATGGTGATTTTAACAATTGTCAAAGAGCATTGTATTTCTCTAGGTTTCACAGGCTCATAGATAATACACACAAAAGATTGGCAAACAACATTACCATTATACCAACAGGAGAGGACTAGAAGTGATGATCAAACATAGCATAAATTTGATCAGATAGGAATGACCCGGGGAAAACTAAAAATCCAAATACCTGCTTCCATCTCCGAGTATACAACTACTGTCACAGCTTTGATAGCAGCATCGCAAGCTCTTCATCAGATACCTTGACTTCTATACACGCTCCTAAAGATGCAGCTAGTCTCGCAGCCAACTGGTGCTTACACTAAAATAAACCAAGAACTGTGTTATTCCTAGGAACCATTAACATAGTTCATAGTAGCACAACTTCAATATAACCATAGAATTTCAACTTACACAAAGCTGTTCCCCTCGATTCACTATATCATAGAAAAATGAGTAGCATCCACAGTAATGCTCGGCGAAACATAAATATTCTTCTTTCTTTCGAGATTCTCCAACAACCTAATCAACATATATGAGACCCTTGTTTTCAATCAAATTACCACAACACAATTATTGATTTAAATCTATTATAAGATCATATCATCCTAAAACAATCCAAAGACATTATTTAATCACATATATATACAATTAAACATTATAATCATAACAATCATACAACCCCATCATAATAATGGAAATTAATTCCAACTTGTAAAATTACTGCACCAAAATTTGCACCCTTGCCTCCTAGTTACCACATTGTTAGTTCAAATTACACTATCAACGTGACTATTAATTTCAAACCGAGAGGTAAAATTAACCGACGGACCTGAAAAATAGAGCGGCCACTGGGTTCACCAGAAATTCTTTTAACACCTTGTTGATCCACAATCCTTGTAGCTCGTTCAAAATTCTTCCCGAACAAAAAATGCAACCTGGGTTTTAATTGTAAGCATAAATTAAGATTACCCAGAATACGAAATTCAAAAAAATAAATGAAAAATTTAGAGAATTGAGGAAGAAACTTACACTCCCAGTTGATCATCAGTCACTAATTTACATCAATTTCTTCCATTGTTAAAATTTGTCGATTCCATTGTTCAAGAAATCAAAGATGAAAAGAACACATTGAAGTGAAATTGGGGTAATGTGGATAAATGAATTTACGATTGATAAAAAAGGGGGTTTGTTTATAGTAGAACCTGAATGGTTGGACTCGATGTTCTTCCATACTGCTTCAGCCACCATTGTTGTTGAACTCATTTTCGCAATTTTTTACTTTCTTCCTTCGGAGAAGGTAAGGGAAAAACAACTACTTGAAGGCTTGAAGCAGTTTGAACTTAAAGAATTAAAGCTATCCTTTTTCTTTCTCATTAATGGCTTATTTTGCTACTCTGTAATATTCGAGTTCAAGTAGATTTGTCAATTAGGTTGGGTTTGGGGTTAAATTTCAGACCGTGCTAAAAAAACCTATTCGCAAAGGGGTGTTAAATACCGCCAACAATTTTTATCAAAATCGGTAACATTTAAGGTGAACGGACATCAATACCCTTACTATACCCCCACCACATCTTCTTCTTTCTCTTTTATTTTTTTTTTCTCTCTCATCAACCATAAGGGCCGTAACCACCACTTCTCAACTACCATCAACCACAACAGCCAGCCGGAGGCGAAGAAAAGCGGCGGCCGTACTGTTGGAGGCGGAAGGACAGCGACGAAGAGGAATGGAGTTGATGAACCGACATCATGGTGGTCGGAAAAACCAGTTCGTCACCTAGCTTCAATCTTATTGTTCAATAATTTCCGGCGTTAATCACCGGAACGCACAACCGATTGAACATCACGGTAACCGGTTTTTGATACAGTCAACCGTAGACAATCGGCATGAAAAATCGGTCACTCGGGACGGTAACCGGTTTTGGACGCCGGTTACCATGGTCAACCGACGTTGTAAACCGATTACCGTCCCGGGTGACCGGTTTTGTGCGCCGGTTGTGCTGGTCGTCGGATTTAAAAGAAAACCACCACCTTTCGGGAAGGCGGTGGGTCATTTTTCCGATGGTTGTTGGTTCTTTCGAGATTTCGGCAACACAAAAAAAAAATGTTACCTCTTAATTGGTGGTTGTGGGCAGTGATGGTGGATGGTTATGGGCAGTGATGGTGGGTGGTGGTGGGCGTGGCTGTGGTGGTATGGATGGTGGTCGTGGTGGTGGCAATGGCGGTTGCTTTAATTTTGTAGTGTTGTTGTGTTGACAGTTGATATGAGGCTTGCTGCATATAGGAGAGAGAAAGCAAAGTAAGGACGAGTGAGGGTATTTTTGTCCCTTTATTAATTTTGTTGGCGATTTGATAAAAAATGTTGGCGGTATTTAGCAATCGACTTCGCGAATAGTGTAAAAACATCTTTCCTCCGCCCCAAAATACTTAAAACAATTTTCATTTTCGTCCGTCCTAGAATATTTGTCAAAAGGGAATTTTATATACAATAAGCTGTTGAAATCCAATGTAACCCACTTGTGAGTATCCCATATTGGAGAAAGAGGAGAGATTGTTCCACTTTATAAAGTTGAGGAGTGCCTTTTCTCATACTTTTATTTTCAGTTCAATTCAGTTCAGTTCAGTTCAGTTTAGCTCTAATAAGTTCAGTTCAGTTCAGTTCAGTTCAACTCCTTATTTCCTTCTCTTATAAAATATTCAAGCTCCTATAATTTGTTTGTAGACCAAACTCTTATCCTCCTTGTTCGAGTTGCCCATGCTCATTTCATATTGTCTTGAACAAATGATTTTAATAGACTCACTTATATCCCAAGTATTCTGGGATGGAGGGAAAACCGGAGTACTAGCTCTATACAATATGAAAATGAGTCAAATTGGGTTGAGTTCGGGTCGTGTTGGGTTATCAAATTGGTCATAAATTGACAACTCTAGTTTAACCCACGATGATTATCAATCCAATAAAGGTATGTGGTTAGCATAATAGGGTACTCTGTTAAAATTTCTAGATACAGTAAAACCTATTATTGCAATAGGTTTCTCAAACTGGAACATGTTGAACAAGTTCCTGGAACATCAGAATCAAATTAAACCCATTTTTAATATACTTTTTGAAATATAATTTTTGAAACAATCTAGATGGTCACAAATTTATAACGTTTACAGCTTGCATATATAACAAACCAAAAGCAGTTCTTTGATAAATTTAATACATATATTTATAATTGTTATTACACTAGACCTCAAGGAAACAAGAACTACTTCCTTACCATCTTAGCCAATAACAATTGATGTCATTTCTATATATATATAAATATATATATATATATATATATATATATATATATATATATATATATATATATATATATATATATATATATATATATATATAGAGGAAGGCTCATGTAAGAACCCTCCTCTATATAAGAACCCAATCTTATATAAGAATCAATCTCAGCCCTTTATTAGTTTTGATCTAACCATCTAAATTGATCCTTTAGTAATGACATTTCTGTTATTTTGAGAATTTCGTATTTAAAACATAGAAAAAAAAATTAGAACATAGAAAAAAATTTAGAACATAAGTAGAAAAGATTTAGAACAGAAGCAGAAAATTTTAGAACATAAGAAAAATAATTTAAAAGATAGTAAAAATTTAGAACATAAGCAACCAAAAAGTTAGAACATAAGAAAAATAATTTACAACATACGTTGAAAAAAATAATCATAGCATAGGTAAAAATTAATAACATAATATGAAAAAAAATAATTTAGAACATAGGAAATATTTAGAACATAAGCTGAAAAAATAATTTAGAACATAGGAACAAATTTAGAACATACGGAGTAATTTAAAAAACAATTTAGAACATCAAAAATAATTTGGAACATAAGTAGAATTTTTTTTTGAATATAGGCAAAACTCTAGAACATAAGCTGAAAAAATAAGGAAAAATGTAAACTAATAATCCTTTACTCCATCTTCCATAAACAATCCCACCTTTTGAAATTCCAGAAACAATCCCACCTTTGACGGGGGTCTTCCACTAACAATCCATAACCGGTTAAATTATTTTGGTAACCGGTTTTACTAGGTTATGAGACACGTGTGGACTTTTAGTTGGTTTATTCTATTTTTTATAATTAAAAAAATAATTAAAAAAAAAAAAAACAAAACAAAACCCCTAACCCCCGCCATTGTTATCGGGGCTAGCCCCACCCCCGCCCCTCCATATCACTGTCGCAGCTAGCCGCCTCCCTTCCTCGGCAACCCAACCTAGGCGTGCGACTTAATCTCAACTTCTCAATGATCTCTTCGTATCTTCTTCTTCTCCTTCACTAACTTGAGGAAGGTGGCTGGGGTCGAGTTTTTCGAAGCTAGGGTTTGGGTTTTCAGGGATGGGTCGGGTTTTTAGGGGCTGGGGATGGAGTTTTCAGGCTTCAAAGCCCAAAATCGACCCTTGATATTTCTTTTAAATTATTTTTGGGGCTAGTTTAGGGGCTGAATTGTGGGTGTGAATTGATGTTGCAGCTATTGAATTGGAGGTCCGGCGGTTGTAAGTGGGCTGCATTGGTGGCGCGTTGATGCGGCGTTGTGAGGTGGGTTAGGCGGTGGTTTACTGGCTGTTGCAGAAGCTGGTTGCTTGTTGTGAGCTTCTGTTGCGAATTTGTTGTGAGAAAGGTGCGTGAGTCGTGGCTGGTGCGATGGCTGTTGGTTGCAGTAGTAGCGCGGCTGCTTTCGATTGCCGCTGGTGGTGAAGTGGGAGAAGGGCAGCAACATGTTGTTGGTGCTAGGTGAGGTGTCAATGTGGTGAGCAGGTAGGCTGGTATGGTGAGTGAAGGAGCTGCGTGGGTGGAATGGCGGTGGACTGGTGGTCCAAGGAGAAAGACTAAGAAAAAAATTATTAACCGGTTTAACAGGTTGTAGGTCAAAAGGATCATTAGTGGAAGATCCCTGTCAAAGGTGGGATTGTTTCTGAAATTTCAAAAGGTGGGATTATCTATGGAAGACGGGGTAAAGGTGGGATTATTAGTTTACAATTTTTCAAAAAATAATTTAGAACATAAAAAAAAATAAAAACATAAGCTGAAAAAAATAATCTAGAACATAATCTAAAAAACGATTTAGAACATTAGAAAAAATTTGGAACATAAGTAAGAAAATTTTTAGAATGTAGGAAAAACTTTAGAACATAAGTTGAAAAAAAATTTACTCCCTCCGTCCCCTATTGATGGTCACTTTTGCCATTTTTGGTGACTCAAAATGTTAGTCACATTTGCTTTTTTCAAGTACCATTATTATTATTTTTTTACCAAAATCTTTAACATTTTGCAAAAATATTTGTGCAAATTTAACTTTCCCATGTAAATTTTACTTTCCCATGTACTTTAATTACTTTCTCTCTCTACTTTTTTGCATACCCAATGTAAATTTACTTTTTCAATGTACCTTATTTATTTCTCCTTAATTCCCGTGATTTTTTAGCAAAAGTGACCATCAATAGGGGACATAGAGAGTATAACATAGGAAAAAGTTTAGAGCATAATTAGTGTTCTTACATAAGAAAGGGTTCTTATATAAGATGGGGTTCTTACCGGATCCCTCCCCTATATATATATATATATATAACTATAAATGACATGCTTCAATTAAAAAGGAAATACGAGATAAGTACTTCGAAAAAAAATAAATAAGAGGAATAAAATCAACATTTCATAAATTATAGTGTTAAAACTTATCTTTCTATACTCTTTATCAATTAGTAACATTATTTTTTAACATTTATGCATAACATACATAATCGATGATAATATATTTTATTTTGTCAAAAAAGATGATAACATATATCATAAAGAAACAATTTAAACAAAGTGGTAACCCAGTGCAACGCCCAGGCAGCACACTAGTTTAAACTTAAATGATACTCCATATCTTTCATCAAGTTACAAGGTACCTAGATGTTCTGGTTCCATCGAAACCTCTTGTCCAGGTTTCATTTTAGAAACATGTGGTTCCTAACGGGTTTTGATTACCTTTTCGGGTAGTCAATTTTTTTTTTGCTCATCCCTCACGTACTGACGTACATGGTTAGCAATGGCAGATGAAATGTATTGAGTGGGAACCCTTGACCCCACTTGAATATGAAAAAATAAAGAAATTTTATCAAATTAAATTAGACTAGTTTCATCCTTTTTTTTATTTATTTAATTCAGTTATATATAATATTATTTCCGACCTAAACAGTAAAAAAAAAGCTAAAACCCTAAGAGAGAGGAGGGAGGAGAAAGAAGAGAGAAATGGAGGCGACATTTGGATCTAACTATCCGAAACTAGTGGTTACAAGTGACATCTCTTGTGTATCAAACAAGTTTTGCCTAATTGTTGATTATAATTGTCTTTAATGATCTGAGTACTATTTAATTCCATTGAAATAATTTTATTGGATATAAAGGTGATTTATTATTTGTAATTATATATTTACATGTATGTTGTGCTCATAGTTTTAATGTAGATTTTATTATGATGTTATAAACATTTTCATGTTTATTAAAACACATTTGTAAATAAGTCTTTAGTCATATAGTCACTAGATTTTATAGCTTTATTGGGAATAATATGCATCTTTAATGTAATATAATGTATACTACTACTAGATATTTTCAATACAACTAATCAACAATAAATTTTATTTTTCTTAATTTTTGTTTCAATAATTTTTACATTATTATTTTATTTCTTATATGCATTGCATTTTTTATTCCACATGAGTTCCTCATTTTTATATTATATCACAATTAATTATGGGAGTTCCTCATTTTTATATTATATTAGTTATTGATTATTAATTGATTAATAATTATGTCTTAAGTTGTAATGAATTTTTTTACATTTGCTTTCCAAGCTAAACATTTGTAACCTACATACTAACATACTCAACTTAAGGGGTATTGTTTTATATTTGGTATTAAAGTCTAAAAAACACCCAAAAAAAAAAAAAAAAAACCTCGAAATACTTTCACTAGTATAATGATGCAATTAATTGTCTGAACTTCATAAATTCAATTTGAAGGTAAGAACACTTGAGGTGAGGGGAAGATAAGAGTGAACGAAGGCATGCAGTAGTGCAGTACACACTAAATAATTTATAGTTATAAATAAAAGGGAAAATTTAAAAAAAAAAAAAAGATTTGATCTTTGTATTGGTTCAAACAAATTTTTTTTTTTCTATTATTATATTGAGAAAAAAGTTACGCTTTTTTTTTTTTTTTTTTGAAAAAAGTTATGACTCTTTTTAATAAACGTAACTTTAATTATTATTATATACATATTTTATTTTAAAAATAGTCATAAGTAACATTGTACAAGTAATAGGTTTTGAGTTTATTTCAAAAAAAAAAAAAAAAAAAGTAATAGGTTTTGAGTATTGTCCTTAACATTTACAATGAGAACAACATGCCGCAGATGAATAATAGCATGCCCCAACAATACAACAATAGCAAGTGCCACGTCCTGCAGCGCAGGGTGCTGGCTTGCAATTAGATATATTAATTTTGCTGCTTCCCTCTCCCTTTTCTGCATCACTGACTATTCCATTGCTTTCCTTGTCATTAACATTACCTAAATACATGTACAATAACAGATAATCCAATTTAAATTATTTAGACAATCTTCTATAAAGAAAGGGAGCACAAAAATAATAGACGCACAAATATTAACTGATTATGAGGTTTACAAAAGCATAACCATTTCAAAACTTACAATGTGCCACAACTAGGAGAGAAAAAAGGATGAAAAAAGCCAAAAGGGTGATTCTTGATCTGCCAATTGCTTCCATTGCTCTGACGGAGAATTATTTAATGAATTAAATAATTGAGTGGATTGTGTGTTCATTTAGCTTTCAATTTATATCATGATTAATCTTCTTAATTTAGAAATGTCAAGGATTTTACTAGCTGTGAAACTGAAATAAATCATAGGTTCATATTATTTTCATGAAAAGAGATACGATGTAAATCCAATTAGAAAAGAACTCTATATATAGGTGTTTGCTGATTATACTTAATCAATTAATATATCTATCTATCTAAATATATATATATATATTTAAGAATTACAACTTTTTTGAAATAATATAATAGAAAACCATAACTAAACATATTTTACAGGTTTAAAGCCTGAATACATTGTTCTATTTAAAATAGGAAAAATTGTGAGCAATCATCTGACCTTTGTCTTATCCGCACAAAATAATTCTACCTTTTGATTTTTTTTTTAATAATCTCACCTTCAATGTCAATCTGCTTCAAATGGTCACAATCGGTTAGCTAACTTATTATAGCAAGTTACTTGACATATGTCAACATCTAATGGTCCAAATAAAATTAAGTAAAAAAACAAGATATTTCTTAGAAAAATTTATAAATTATCAATTAATTTCTTTTATAAAAAACAATTAATTAATTTTAAAAATCACCCACCAGCCAAACCACCAACCCCGCCGCGCCGACCTCCCTTGCCTCTGATTCCGGCCGCATCGACCTACCCTCCTTCTCCGGTTCCGTCCGTGCCGATTTCCACAACCCTTTTTCTAGGATTTGGTTTTAAGGGGTTTCGAACGGTCTTAGGGCTAGTAGGGTTTTGATTTTTGGAAGGGTTTTGGGGTTAGGTTAGGTGGGTCGGCGTGGCCGGTTTATGGGTTTTGGTGGTATCGAGTCTGGGTGTGGTGGTGGTTCTGGAGTCTAGGTTTGGGTGGTAGGTGGTGGCTAAAGTAGTGTGGCTTAGGTGGAGGTGAGCGTTTTTTTTTTTTTTTTAAAATTAGATTTAACTTTTTTTTTTCAAATTTTGACTAATTTTTCTTTTTTAATTTTTTTTTGAACAATCACGTGGCGACATGTTTAAATTCAACTTAATAAATTAATTACCTACTAAACCGGTTACAGGTTAGTGAGACCATTTGAAGAAGATTGACATTAAAGGTTGGATTATTAAAAAAATAATTAAAAGGTAGGATTATTTTAGATGGATGAGGTAAAGGTCGGATTATTCTGAACAATTTAAAGAGATGAAACCCTGGGAAGGAAGCAAGTGGCTTAGGGTCATTTTTGCTCATTTTGGGAAATTTGAACCTCAAATCTTGGATATTTAAGATATGAAACTTAAACTTATTTGAGGTAAATTATAAACTCATTAAAATTTGGTTTTATTTTAGGTCTTTTGAATTATATTAAGATGCAAACTTGCAACAAGTCATAATATATTGGTGATGATTAGTCAAATTAGATTAGAATAATTTCATAGGAAATCTTCTTTCTTCAATCCCCTGAACCACCCCTAACTCAAACCTGAGCCGCCGCTAGACCCAATTGATAACAGATATCAACAAACTTTTGTTAATATCAACAATTTTTCTCTCTCCTCCCCTCACATGACCAATTTTTCTTTCTCTCTCCTCCATTCCCATGGCCACTACTTCTCTCTCCTCCATTCCCATGCCCAAGGTCGACGACTTACGCGAATCTACAGCGGCCGACCGGCCAAAAAAACGACACCCTAATAGCAATTTATGAAAATTGGGGCCATATAAACTCTTTAAGGAAAGGGATTTGCTCATACTAGTATTGTGGCGGTCAAATGTTGGTGCAGCGGCATGTGGTGGTTGACTGGAATCAATTTGTAAAGGCTAGCGAAGCTAAAGGTGGCGCTTTGGGTGGTGGTAGCTAGTGGTGTTGCGGCGGTCGAATGTTGGTGCAGCGACCGTGTGGTGGTCGGCTGGGGTCGATTCGTGAAGGTAAAGGTGGTGTTGTGGGTGGTAGTAGAGGTTGCACGGTGGTGATAGAGGGGAGAGAAAGGGGGTGTGGTTGCTAAAATTACAATATTGCCCTTGGTGTGATAGCTAACATTGGCAGCCACCAAGTGGCAGCGCGCCACGGTGGCGACATATGTGGCAAGGGCCGTGGACTCCATTCCTTTCAGTCCCCACCTCAAAACCCACCCCCTCCCTTTCCCCCACCCCTCGAAAAGAATGAGCGGCGCCAACGATAATACAACTCTGACAACCTTCGATCACCATGAAATTCAACAAAATCCCTAAACCTTAATAATTTCTCTCGCTCCAGGCCAATTCCCACCATTATCATCACATTTCTCAAATCCCACAACAGCAGCAAAGCAACCTCCGTCCTCAAGATTTCGCCGTCACCATAGTATTCCTTCAGTAGCTATGATGGCCGGTATTCCAGTAAAGTCGATGGTAAAGAGGAAGAGAGAGAAAAGGAAAAGAGGAGGTGTTTTAACTGTTTTTTTTTATTGATTTTTTTGGACCAATAAACTTGCGACATAAAATTAAACCTTTTAGTAGCTTGCGGTTTTAAGGACTGAAGAAAAAAAACCCATACACCCTCCGTGTTTTTTTTAAGTGTTACAGTTTGATAGATACATAGTTTTAGGCAATTTAATTAATTGACTTAAATAAAATAAAAGGTAAGTGGGGGTACTTGGAGTATTAAAAAATTGTAAAAGAAAGATAGTGGGGTTTATAGTTTATTGAAAAGTAATGGATGTGAGAGGAAAGATATGATAAAAAAAGTAGTAGTGGGTTTGGGTGAGTACCATGATGAGAGGGTAATATTTTAATGTAGCTATTTGCCAAAAAAGAAAGCATAACACTTAAAAAAACACGGTCGAAAATTAACACTTAAAAAAACACGAAGAAAGTATGAAAGTTGGGATTATTCAAGGTACATTGGACAAAGTTGGGATTATTAATATATATGAAAATTTTTGTTTTTCTAGTTGCATAATATAAACCATTAATTAATAATATTCATAAATATTTTATATGTGTTTAAGGTTATTTGGTCGAGGTTTACTCGATCGGTCAGGGGTTGCTCGATCGGGGTTTGGTGTGTGACGCACCAATAAAACGCTGTTAATTTAATTATTATCTTGGTTATAAATCATCAAAACTTAGAATACGTATTTAGAAAATATATAACGAGACATGTATTAGATTTCGATAACATGATTTGACAACTAAATATCATCTTACACTTTTACGGATCAAACAAGGATTGTAAACATAGAATAATTGCGATCTCTTCATCTTTTACAAACTCTATACCCCTTGTTCTTTGACAAAATTGTACAATCTGAGTTTTAGATAACCATAATATATATTACTAATGACGCTGTTTTTGAAATTACAACTAACCAAAAAAAAAAATCTCACACACATTAATCAAATTTCGAACCATAGGGTGAATAACATAGGAAAGAATGACAATAACAAAATTTATTTACGAATTTTTATTGGGATTTTAGGCTGAATTTGATAGTACATTAGCAATTAACAATTACTTTGGGAATGGGTGGCTAATCTATGGCATGAATAAATTGATGAACAATTTTAATTTTGTAATTTTTAATTATTAGTATAATTTCGAAAATTAATTAGTATTATAAAATTTTCATAATTTATAATTATGTATTTCTAAAGAAAAATGTACTGTATTGAAAAGAAAATAAAAAAAAATACAATTTTAATACATCGTGAAAAATAAAAATAATTCAAAATGATAATTAAAATATTAAATATAGGCCAATCAAATTTCGCCATGTCAATATATTCTTGCGCTTTTTTTTGAGGAATGACTTTGTTAAATTTTCTCCCTAGTTACCATTGAATATAGATAAAGTCCATTACAAGCAATAATGCATAAAAAAAACTTGCCCACTAATTCAACTAGTACGTAATGCAATGCATGCATTAGATAGTGTAATTATTATAACCTTAAGACCTAATCAACACGTACGACAGACCAATTCTCATCAAGCTCTCATTTATATCACCATTTCATATATATCAATACATCTTTTTCATGCATATGTAACACTCCTAATTTCTTTCTTACAAGCAAATATAGCTTCATTCTATATACTAAATCTCCTTAATTAATTCTCTTCCATTCAAACTAATTAAACATGGGAAAACCATTAACACTTATTTTCTTTACCCTACTATATGGTCTATTCTTTCTCCCTACATCAATTATTTCCCAAGCTCAAAACATTTCTTCCTCATGTAATGGCATATTTTTACAGTACACCTACACTCGGGGCGAGCAACTCCCCCGAACATCACAGCCTCGAACCCAATAGACCAACCATATAAGTTCCAATCAACGCTTTATATCCAAAACAACGGTTTACAAGAGTTGAAGTCATGGAGAGCTTTTGTAGGGTTTCGACACGGTGAACTTTTGGTGTCTGCCTCTAATGCTGTGCTTCTTGATGGCTCACCTTTACCTGCTAATGTTTCAAATGGCACCGTTTTTACTGGCTACCCTACGACGGACTTAAAGACCGCGATAGAGACTGCCGGAGATTTGGCTCAGATGAGTGTTCGAGTTGAGTTGGTTGGTACTGAATTTGGTGTTTCACCGGAAGATTTTCCTTTGCCTTCAAATATTAGCCTTGCTAATGATGGTTTTATATGTGCTAATTCTACTATGCAAGGTATGTAACCATAATCATAGATAAAATTTCAAATTCGATTTATGTTTTATTAAAAGAGTCGGTTGAATTATTATTTTTAGTGAAGAATTAATTTAATTTTTATACTCCATATATTAACAAATTAGAAGTCAATTACGTTAGTTAAACTTATAACTAATTCATATACTCGTTCCACTTTCCTACATCACTATAGCTCTAGCAATCTTTAATAAATTAAATCTATTTGATTTCTTGCCAAGTTGCCATTATGTTTTGTTGATCCGGTCATTTGTAATTTTGTAGAATTTGTTATATAAACCTGGGTGTATTGTACCATACATCCGGGGTCATTTGCTCATTTAATCAACAAATGAACAAATAATATTTTTACTTATTTATTGACTGCATGAGCAAATGACTCCGGGTGTACGGTACACTTGGGTGTATATAACAGGCTCTCAGTCATTTGTAACTTAATATTTATAGTAATCTTATCAATATAATAATATTTGTGATTTTAATTAGTCACAATGTCTACATACAAATAATAAATTTACGCAATAATACAATATCAAGAATATCAAAGTGATCAATAGGCCTTGAATTATTTGAATAGAACAAAGTGCCAACAAGGTAAAACTCATGGTAGAGGTTATTAGAGGAAATAGCTTTAGCCGTACCATGTAAAACTGACAACCGATTGTACATAAAATACCGCTAAACAAGTGTATTGTTTAACTACAGAGTACATACCAAGAGCGTTAATCATCCTTGATTAATTATGTAATAATCATTTCTTCAAAAAAAAAATGTAATAATCAGTTATTTGGAAAGTTGACTTTCTATGTGGTTTTGATGACTAATATAAGTTTGTTGTATACAATATACTTTCATTATTGTATACATAATAAATCTTGACATGCATGCAGCTATATATGTGCTACGGTACTAATATATAAGTCATAACATACAGTTATTTTAAGATAGATAACCATTGCATGCATATGGCTTAGAAATGTTTTTGGAAGTTAATTATAAGTCCTCTACGATGTGATTTTTTTATGCTCATTAGAACAATTACAAAACTTCAAATTGTGGCGCTAATATATGCAGGGAATACTAGTATGTCTACATGTTGCATACGAGATCCTAATGCTAGAACAACCATCAATGCAACAGAGCAATTCCTACCGCGACAAAGTGGAGATTTGAGCATAATGTACGATGTTATATCAGCATATGAATCGAACTATTGGGCGCAGGTGACTATTTCAAACCAAAATCAAACGGGGCGCCTAGACAATTGGCAATTAAGTTGGGAATGGATGAGAAAAGAGTTCATTTATACTATGAGAGGCGCTACACCTTACAAAATAGACTCCTCAAAATGCATCTTTGGTGACCAAGCTAAATTCTACCAAAGTCTTGACCTTTCGAGGGCCTTAAGTTGTGAGCATAAGCAAACGATCATAGACCTACCACCAACTTTGGCAAATGATCAAACCCTAGGCTCAATCCCCTATTGTTGTCGAAATGGTACAATTTTGCCTTCAACCATGGATCCAAGCATGTCTATTTCCTCCTTTCAAATGCAAGTGTACAAGATGCCACCTGACCTTAACGTGACCATTTTTAACCCGCCACAAAATTGGAAGATCAATGGAACATTTAATCAAGACTATAAATGTGGGAATCCAATTCGAGTGAGCCCTAGCCTCCTACCTAGCCCTAATGGCCTCCCGGTACAAGTGGAAGCAATTGCTAGTTGGCAAGTGGTGTGCAATAAGACACAAAGTAGCACAAGACCCCCAAAATGTTGTGTGTCATTCTCCTCTTTTTTCTATGATTCCGTTATCCCTTGCAAAACATGTGCATGTGGTTGCCCTAATCCAAGACAAGAACAAGCTTGCAATGCTACCGCGAATGCAATTGCCTTACCATCTTACGCGCTTCTGATTCCATTTGAAAATCGAACTAAAATAACCACCGAGTATGCAAGACTAAAACATATACCCATATCCAACAATTTATTACCTTGTGGTGATAATTGTGGAGTCACCATAAATTGGCATTTGTCATCGGATTACCGAAAAGGGTGGACTTCTAGGGTTACACTCTTCAATTGGGGGGATACTAATTTCTCCGATTGGTTTGTGGCCGCGGAGCTTGACAAGGCCGGAGTAGGGCTAGAAAGGGTTTATTCCTTTAATGGAAGCTCTTTGCCGGGAGATAGTAGCACAATTTTCATGCATGGTTTTCCAAGTGGAAATGATTATCTTCTAGGGCAAGTAAATGGATCCAATCCAAACAAAGATCCTAAGCGTCCGGGTACTTTGCAATCAGTGATTTTGTTTGATAAGAAGAAAACACCAGGGATTAATGTGGCTCGCGGTGATGGTTTTCCTACTAAAGTCATCTTCAATGGTGAGGAGTGTTCTCTTCCTACAATATTACCAATTAATTCAGCTTCCATGGTTAGTTCTAATAATAGCATGTATAGCTTGTTTATAACCTTGGTTCTAATGTTTTTGTTACATTAATGGTGAGATTTTATTTCTACATTTGATTCTTAAGTTTATGTCAAGTATAATATAATGTTGAGGGCAACATTCATGTATATGACTGAAAAATCGATTGATTTGGATTTATCATATTAATATTAATACGGAGTATGTTAACATTTGAAAAATGGTAGTAATCAACCAATACAAATAGTTTCAAAACACTAATGATTAATTAGCTCACAATTATCATCATTTGTGAACCCTAATAAACAATTAACTTATTATTTTGTACAATGCTTTAAAGTAATTAAGATTACCATAAAAATTAATATGTTCAAAACTTCCTTCTATTCTACTTGTACCATTTCAATCAAAATTGAATGTGGTATTATTGTAACATAAATCATGTACATAACTCTCATATGTATTATTCACTTGCTCCTCGATTGATGTAGTCTCTTTCAGTGAACATGCATTTTCAACTAAAGGAACTTTTGTTGAACAATAAGCATATGAAACAACAGGATGATATATAACATTACCACCATTTTCGACATGATGATGAAGTCTCAAGTTTCGAGGATGTGAATTCAAACTTGTGAAATCGCGTACTTGAAAGGGTGACGAGTTTGGAAGAACTTGTGCTTGAACACTATACACATCTATAGGAGATATAAAAGTCTTGCCTTCATTTTGATGTTGTGAAATTTGCTCAAATTTCTTATGATAAAGACGATATTTCTGCATCAAGTTAAACGATTATACTTGCATAAAATTGTGATGAATCACAAATGAAATATAATTTAAATATCTTAAATTGTAGTACTTATACCTGTAGATGGCTAGCAACATTTTCTCTAGTTAAGCCAGGAATATTCATTATTTCCAAAATCTTTTTTGGAACTACCTCTGCATAGTGTTATTATGTTTAAAAAGAAAAAACAAATATACATGAGTAAACATGAATGTATTACATAATTATGGCAAAATAATACGAAGGCCCTATTCTTTTCACCTTAAAAAAAATAATATTAAGTAAAAATAATTTCAGATTAGTAAAAATAAGTTCAGTTCAGTAAAATTAATTTCAGTTCTGTAAAAATAATTTCAGTTCAGTAAAAATAAGTTTTTTTAAAGAAGAATTATAATAGAAAATCAGTAAAAATAATTTTAGTTCAGTAAAAATAATTTCAGTTCAGTAAAATTAAGTTCAGTTCAATAAAAATAAGTTCAGTTCAGTAAAAATAATTTCAGTTCAGCAAAATTAAGGTGAATCAAACAGGGCCGAAGTACTACTACTTTCATTTTTTTATATTACAAATTAGAGTGTTAAGATATATTAGTCATAATATATCTTTTGTTCAATGTAAATAATTCGGTTACCATAGTTATTTACATTGACCAAAAGATATACTGACTAATACAAGTATAATAAGGAAAAGGAGTATATAATTCTTCAAAAAAAAAAATGATAAAAAATGGAAAAATGTTATACATAACTCTTAGGGATATATATATAAGTATTAAATTTACACTTGAAAATCGTAAAATTTTTTAAAAAAATCATCAAAATATAAACACTAATAACACTGATTTACGCGTGTTTTTGTCATGAATTCCTAATTTTATATAATTTCCAAGAGTATATTTAATGCTTATATATAGCCCTTAGGGCTACATATAACATTACCCATAAAAAATAATTAATTGTTTTCTAATTTGCAATAAAATCAATAATATAACAATAGTGGAATATGATACTCCGTAAAAGAAATCTAATAGGAGTAACATTTTTTTATTTTCATTTTAAGATAAATAAATGTTTAATTAAATTTTCAATTTTGCAAATTATGGTAAAATATCCAACTGTTTGCCAATTAATAACAATTCTTATTGTTGACAATCTCATTCTTTAGCCTTTAAGTTTGTATTATACTCCGTAATATAGACACTAAAATAAACTAAATAAATAAAAATATAAACTCGAGTTGGACTGGTGTGTTGAATCGAATGTAGTTATTCAAATATTCACCAACACAATAAGAAATCTTCTTTTTTTCAATAAAATACAAAATTCACATTACAAATTATTTGAATAATGTCAGTAACGTGGTATGTAAATTCAATTCCTAAAAAGTGTATAGATGGGTGAAGAATCACGAAATGATGTTTTATTATTGTCTTATCTTGATAATTAATGGCTTTTTGATAGTTTTTAAAATGCTTGTCGATAGTTCTTTGGTTTTTTTTTTTTTTTTTTTTTTTTATTTGGAAGATTTAGCAACATTTCCAAAAAAAAAAAAAAATGGGTTGTTGCTCATAATAACATAAATCAGCGAAAGAATTGAAAATCAAATTGGATAATGTCGGTATCACTTATCGCTTAAGTTTTTGCAAATTTTCTTGGTTAAAATAGTGGAAGTAGTCATACAATCGAGAAATTTGATGGTAGTCTGAATTTGGAGATGATGCTTATCGATAATTCTTTATTTAAAAAATTGTATTTTATATTCTTTTATATATTTTCATGTTATTACTAGTATAATTAAACACACAAACGGATATAATTTCATCATACAAGCTTCAGAAGTACGCTTATGTATCTAATGTATGTTCATATAAGTGGAGTTTCTTTACAGTTGTATCCATCTTATGAAGTTTTGATTAAATCCATTAGTAGCATTTTGCTTTCTTAAAGGCAAGATTTGTGTGATAACTACATGTATATATATAATAAAAACAATAACGGATTTTTTACAAATGGTTTGATCAACAAGAAGACTAGAAATCCTTTATGTACACAATACATCTGATTTTTACACATTAACATGGAAAAATATTACTTGTTAACAGTGGCGGATCCAGGATTTTATGGGTGCTGGGTCACTGACCGCATACTATATTATTATTTTAAGGTATACTATAATTGACCGCATATAAATCAGTAATTAATACATAAATATTCTAAAACTAATAAAACCAAGTAACTCCAAAAATATTAAATATCTTGTGAGAGAGGAGGAGGAAAAGGATTTGTGACGGATAATGACAAATCACTAATAAAGTACCAAAAATATTTAAAACGATGAACTTAAACAAATTGCCTAGTGACAACTAAGAAGGTAGGATTTGAGAAATGAAGTTAACGAATAAAATTAATTTCAACAAATTACCTGGTGTGAACTAAGAATAAGTTTTTTTTTTTTTAATTTAATAAATAAACGATACCCGTGGATATCAAACCCATGATTTCACCACTACAACATTGTGTAGTAATTTGTAAATTATGCATTGTTAAACCATTACTCGGCTTTTGGCGGGTTTTGAACCTGCGTCCTCTAGATATAAATGTAAGTCCTCAACCACTAGACTAATAAGCACATATGTTAATTAGCTGTAATATTTAATATTTATACTTCTTTATTTTTGTGCTAAGTCACATGACCCACCATGCACAAGGGTGGGTCCGCCACTGCTTGTTAACTCAAATATGTTGATTTTTTTCTTTAAATAAATAATTAAAGGATATGAGCTATTTTAAAGATATTAGGGATTTATATACCTGAATTATATGAATATTTCTTTAAATTTTGTTCCTAAAACCTATCAATTCCTTTTTTTCTACTCACTTACTATTTAGTGTGCAAAGTAAAGAAAATATTGACCATCCATTGCTACAAATGTACAGATCTAAAATTATCGCTTGTGATCGCGTTAGAATTGTTTCATTGTGTAATGTCCAAATATCTAATTTTCATTATTTACTCTAGTATGCAATTAAGGATATAGTTGGTCAAAACCTCAAACATGCATGTTACAACACAAATTGCAAGTGAGTAGAACAAAGACGGAGGGAGTACAAATGTATCATACAATCTACACCATGGTTTTTTCTACGTTAGTTTCTTAATTTATATAGTAATCACTAATGAAATTCAATGATCCGTGATAATATGATACTGATCACAAATAAATATATATTGTCAAATCATACTCAAATGACTTTGTAGGAGTTAGGAAGGATATGAAGTTTTTGGATTTGTATAGGATGAAGCATTGGATTGTAAGGGATGGAGGATGAGGATCTTTGTCAATGATTACACGGAATAATCAAATTTGGTTCATGTAGCCAACCCCCCTTATGGGATTAAGGCTTTGATTGATTGATTGTCAAATCATTCTCAACAAATGAGCAACATACATATATAAAATCATTAATTTTTTAAAATTATCCCGCTTTAATTGTCAACTAGTGAGTAGCCCGGGCGTTGCCTCGGATTACTACTTTTATAGTTGTGCAATTGCTAATTTTAAGAGCATCTAATAGTGTGTGTAGTATGTGTCTTCAGTACTTTATAGTATAATATTATTTATTGTGCAAGTTTAAAGCATAATTGACAATTAGTCTAGATGGTTGAATAATAACCTTTCTTTAAAGAGAACAAGTGTTCAAACCTTCTCATTCATATATTTTTTCCAATATAGTTGAGATAACATGGTGTATTATTGTTGGTTGTGTGGATGACATAGCATATTAAGGTGATGAGTGGATGACGTGGCATAATAAGAAACTGAGTAAGTGATATGGCGAAATGAGAGAGTTTACGTGACACCTAAACGTTTTTAGTAACACCTTTTAATATGATAGTATAGATTTGTTAGAATTACATACGGTTTGAGTTTGTGTTTGAAATTATATTATTCTTTTCAAAAATAATAAAGTAAAATAGACAAGTAAATAACGAGTATAGAGAACTTACTTGCACTCCCAATCTGATTAATTGCTTCTACAAACTTAGCATGAAGCTCAGTAGTCCAAATGACCCTTTGTTTTTTCTTTGTAGTTGCATCATCATTTACTAGTAAATCTCCCAAGTTAGTTGCATGCTTCCTCTTCTTCATGCATTTCTCATCATCTTCACAATCACTACTAGCAACAATCGAATCGATTTTCGAGGAATTTATGTTAATCTTTTCAAAGTGATTCTCCCGAGTGTTGGATTCATTCAAGTCGTTATCTATGTGAGAACTACTACTAGTACTCCTTGTGGGTTGTTCCACCCTTTGATGTCTTTGTTTCCAATACGCGTATTTCCATAAATGTTTCACATTCTCCATTTGAATTGGCTTAATGAGGAAATCACAAGCTCCATGTATTAGCCCCTTCCTTATTAGATCTTCATCATCATCAGTTGTTGAGGTCACTAAACAAACAATTTTTTTAAAATTAAAAATAGGGTTAGTCTAAAATGTGTTTGATTAATTAATGGGCTAATTTTCACATCATTAAAGTTGTGATAAACTGATGACTCAATCAGGTTCAGGCCTAGTGGTTAACATTGAGGGTCTTTGTATGACACACGAGTAAAGTCACATTCAAATCCCCCTCCTCTATTAATAGTTTGTATTGCCCTATTTTTTTTTTTTTTTTTTTTTTTTTTTTTTTTTTTTTTTTTTTTTAAAAAAAAAGTGTGTAATCATGATATTGTTGTTGATCAAATTCAAAGTCTGTTAACTTTAAATATTAGTTGCTAATTTCTAGGCTAGGACTCTGGATTTAGTCTTTACATAGTAATTGAAACTCCTTTCTCTTAGTTTCTTTGCTCATAGTATTTTCTAATTAATCAACAACCAATATGTGTAATTGAATATCGATGGCTAATTCAAGGGCATTTTAAAGCATTATACTACTAGTGACAATAATTATTATAACCATGAATAAAAATAAAATTTATTTACACAAAATTAATAAAGAAATTAAAAATCACTCTCAAGAATTATACTACATCCATAAAAATCAAAACGGAATTGAAGCGTAAAGTATTTGTAGAAACGGAGGTAATACTTACTTAAAACGGGGATATCCATATCTAATCCAATACACTTTAGTAGCTCAAACCCATCCATGTCGGGCATGTTGAGATCAGTTATAACAAAATCAAATCTATTTCTATCTTCTTGTAGCATAGATATTGCTTCCTTTGCATATTGGCATTTTGTCACTACAAAAACAACAATACATTACATTTTATTAAAGTCCATTTTCAAATTATTAAATTGAATTCAGGCATTTGTTTAATACTCATATTCTAAGTACCTGAATTAAAAGTTTCGAGAGTAAAAAAAAATAAATAAATAAATTACCTTTTATATTAAATTTGAAAGTACACAATTCAAGGAAAAATATCACTATTTCTCAATAAAAATCACTCATAATTTTACAAGATTATTAATAATGAAGCTCCCTTGAATGTCATGACACGTGACTGTCTCACACATATAAAATTACTCGATCTAAAAAAAAAAAAAAAAAAAAAAAAAAACCTAATATATATATATATGAACTAATGCACGTCCTAAAGTTAAAATAAAATCATGATTATTGTTTTAACAAAGAAAACATACCCTTGAAATGGTTAGATTGTAGCATTTTTTCCAATCTCAACAAGTGATTAAGATCATAATCCACAATGAGAACCTTCCATTCGCGATTCATGAATTCTTTAGACAGTGAAGAGTGAATGTATATTGCTATTTAGATAAGAGTGTGTGTGAGATAGAGAGTAGATAAAAGTGATAAAATAATCAAGCAGGTTGTTATAAGTGTAACAACTTTCCACGTTTTTGTAAAACAATTAGAAAAAACTAAAATTTCAAAATTTAAAAACATTATCACGTTGAAAGAAAATATGGGTTTCAAATTCTAGATTTTTTTCTAGATTTATAGAATGAGAAATATCTTGACCGTTATTGTTTAACTTTATCTAGTTTACCATGGTGTTTTTCTACAATAAAATGTACGTATATGTAAAGATAGTTGTTAGTAGTGGTAATATTGTTAGCAGGTGCAAGCGATTAATAAAGCTACTCCAATTAAGTTAAGAATTACACCAATGTTTGTAGCTATGAATTTGCTTGCAATTTTCAAAAGTCTCTATCTATTAACTTGACCGATGGAGCAATGAGATACAATTAGCTTAGGTATTAGCTAAGTATTAGCTTAGGGATGTTCATAGTGGGGTTTAGACCGCACCAAATCGCAGTTTTGCAATTTGGTGTGGTTTGCGGTTTGGAAATTGCGATGCGGTTTTTGAAAATGACCAAACCACGATTTCAGTTTGGTGCGATTTCCAAAAAAATAGATCAAGTCGCACCGAAAACCGTACATTGATGTGATTTGTGGTTTTTATACTGTATTTTTATCAAAAAAAAATATATATAAAAGAACAAAAAAATATAAAAGAACTTAAAAATATGAGTTAATCATTGACTATTAGCTAACTAGCTAGGTTAGATCCCGTACCATGCACAATAATTTTTAATATTTATCATGAGTTTAACATTATTATTCAGCTATACAAAAATATATCTAATTTTAAATTTTAATAAAATATCACACTAAAGAAAATAAAGGGAATTATACATGCACGACTAATAAAATTAACTATGGATTACATGATTACATCACAAGAATAATATCTTTGTTGAAATAGGAATGAAATATTATTGTATAGTAAGTATTAATACTCGTCTGAGAAGTTTTGGTAAAAAGAAATGAAAAAAATAACACTTTTGAATGGAAATTTTTTAATCAGGATATTATGTCATTCCTAGTTTCGCCTTTAATATATAGTTATAGATAGATTCTTGGACCTAATGTGGAACCTACATCAACAAATATGAAAGTTTCAAATCAGAATGGACTGATAGTCAATAGACATACATTGTATAAATTGCTTCGGAAGTATATATCCTCATTGTCGAAATATGTCTTTTTTCCAAATTTTAGAGGCATATCACAAGGGGAGTACCATAAAATAATAAATGTAAATGCACGTTTCCTTGAAGAGAATTATGTGCATATAGGGCATATAGAATCCTGAAATTTTCCAAACAACGTTTCCTATCATCCTATGACATCTCTAATTACTTTATTAAGTAAATAAAAGAGGGTATTTGTAAATGGGCAGGATCAAACCAACCCTTTATCAAATCTGTCTAGGAAAACTCAACAGTGGATTTCATTAAATATTACCGGTGACAGAGAGGATTTCATTAGATATTACCGGTGACAGATTGGTGTATATATATATATATATATATATATATATATATATATATATATATATATATATATATATATATATATATATATATATATATATATATATATATATATATATATATATATATATATATATATATATATATATATATATAAAAAGAGATTTAGATCTAATAAATACAATAAAATAAAAATATTCCATAAGGAAAGCTACGATCTTTGTTGCAAATCGTACATTCATCATACCCTCTTTCATATCGTTGTGATTTACAGCCTTCATCGACAGAGGGTCTATCGATCTGTTGTAGCCGACTAGCCGTGCAGAAATTTTCCGTCTGATTCCCTATATTGGTATTAACATTGGTAAGTTGTGACAGATTGGTATGAAAGTTAGCCAGCGGCGACATATTGTTAGAATAATCCGTGTAACATTTTATTTATTTTTTTTTCAATTTCAAAATATAGAGAAATATTCAAGATTATGCATAAGAATTAATGAAGAAAAATTACAATTTCATGTTTTGATTACGTATTTTCAAGATGACATCATTTTAATTTTTTTTTTATTTTGCAATAATCAATTTTATATAAATAAATTTGCTCCAATTTTAAAATTACAACTTATTACATGCCAATTTTTACTTTTGAAACTTTAATCATATAAGGCCCCATTCTTTAGAGTTCTGCTCTGCTCTGCTAAAATCTGCTCTACTCTACTCTGCTTTGCTGAAATCTTCTCTGCTCTACTTCAATCTGCTCTGCCCTGCTCTGCTCTGCTCTACTTAAAATTTATACTTAATATTAAATTATTATAATAATAATTAATATTTAATAATAATAATAAATAATTAATATTTAATAATAATAATAATAAATAATATTTAATAATAATTAATATTTAATAAGAATAATACTAATAATAATAAATAATTAATATTTAACAATAATAATTAATACTTAATAATAATAATAACAATAATTAATTATTGATGTTTAATAAAAATAATAATAAAAATTAATTATTAATATTTAATAATAATAATAATAAAAATTATTAATAATTAATAATAATATTAATAATAATTAATATTTAATAATAATAATAATAGTAATAATAATAGTAATTATACTAATAGTAATAATAATACTTTTAACTAATAATATTAATTATAATAACAACAATTGATTTTTATAATAACAATTAATATTAAGATAATATTTAATATTTAATTTCTAATAATAATAATTAAATAATATTTAATAATAATAATTATAATTATAATTAATATTTAACTTTAAAAAGAACAGGGCTTAAGTTTCTCATTCTATTCATTTTTGAGATTTGTGTTTGAACTCATAATTTTTTTTATTAATATTATTATTTGCTGATAATCTTGAATGCATGAGTATAGAGGAGAGAATTATTTGCCATTAAATGAGAACTAACAATACCAAATAAAATAATTTTTTTTAAAAAAAAAAAAAACTACTTTCGTAGGAAAAGAAAGGTCAAATGTTATACGGAGTAGTTTGTTAATTTTTATACAAATTTCTTGTAATTTGTTAACTTTTATATCAATGTGTTATCAAGGTGTTGCTAGGAATTGGGTTATAAAAATAGAGCAAGCAACAATTCAGAGAGAGAAAAATAATAGCAAACCCAGATAGATTGTATTGCAAGTCAGTGAAACCACAATACAACTCCCTTCTTTTGAGAGGAAAGGATGCTCTCCCAAGGAATGAATTCCACAATAATTTTCTAGATACATTCCCTCTACACAACTTCCCCTTAAATACCCAAAAATAACTAACAAGCAGCAAAAACTAACTCAGCACACCAAACAAGGATTAACAAACTTATTCCCTTAATTACTGATTTACCCCTCCCTGTAACTAACTTCCAGCTCACAAATCCAGCTCACTCTCCCTTATCAGCTCCTTGCTTGGGCTTCCTTCTAGCATATGTGAAGCGAACCTGAGGCCTGGGCTGGTCTCTTGCAATACCTCCCACCCAAAAAAGCACCTTGTCCTCAAGGTGGAAATGAGGAAGGCGAGCAGCAATTTCATCATGGTCTTCTTCTCATGTGGCCTCAAAGTCCTGTAACCCCTTCCACCTGATTAAAACTTCAGTGGCAGCCTAAGAACTCCTCACTGCAAGTACAGAATCTGGTTCCACTTCTAACACCAAGTCAGCAAAGAGCTAAGCAGGGAGAGAAGTTGGCACCTGCCCTGGTCCCATGGCTTTCTTGAGATGGGAAATGTGGAAAACATGGTGTATTTTGGAAGAGGCAGGTAGCTGCAGCCTATATGCCACCTTTCCCACACGCTCTAACACTTGATAAGGTCCATAGAACCGAGGAGACAACTTTTCAGAGTACCTTATGACCACAGAATGTTGTTTGTATGGCTGTAACTTGAGATGGACCAAGTCCCCCACTACAAACTCCCCCTCCCTTCGAGACTTGTTTTCATGTTGCCTCATGTAGACCTGATCTTGCACTAAATGGAACTTCAAATCATCCAAAATAGCATCCCGTTTCTGAAGCTGATCCTCCAAGGAAGAAATAACAGTAGCATCCTGAGAGAACCTGACCATGTGGGGAGGGTCCCTGCCATAAAGAGCCTTGAAGGGAGATCCTCAATTGGGTAGGACTTGTATTTCTCTAAAAGCTATGTTCAACTCCTTGTAGAAAGAAGGACATGGGTTTTTGCTTGAGTGAAACCACTTGGAAGGTGTAGTGGAGGAAACACCTATTGTTCCTACCATTTTTCAGCCTTTAATTGAGGAGTTTCAGCACATCTTTCACATGCCTGAGGGCTTACCTCCACTACGATAAATAGAGCATTCCATCACTCTCAAACATGGTGCAAATCTCATCAGCGTTCGTCCTTACCATTATCCACAATCTCAAAAAGACGAGATTGAGAGGCTAGTGACTAATATGCTCTGAGCAGGTATCATTAAATCTTCCACTAGTGCCTATTCAAGCCCTGTTTTGTTGGTTAAGAAAAAAGATGGTAATTGGCGTTTTGTATAGATTACAGAGCTTTAGATAAAGATACAGTGCCTGATAAATTTCACATTCCCATGATTGATGAATTATTGGATGAATTGTATGGGTCGGCTATTTTCACAAAGCTTGATCTAAAATCTAGGTATCACCGGATTAGGATCAGGAAAGAGGACGTGCATAAGACAGTTTTTCGCACGCACAAAGGGCACTACGAATTTCTTGTCATGCCTTTCGGCCTCACCAATGCCCCTGCCACTTTCATTTCCAGTCACTAATGAATGAAGTGTTTCGTCCCTTCTTGCGCAAGTTTGTCTTGGTTTTCTTTGACGATATCTTGGTGTACAGTCCATGTGAAGAGTCTCACCAAGGTCATCTCAGGCAAGTCTTGGAGACATTGGCTGCTCATCATTTGTATGC